ACAAACACAGAGACACTCACAAACAGAGAGAGACACACACACACACAGACACTCACAAACAGACACACACACACACACACTCACAAACAGAGAGGCACACACACACACAGACACTCACAAACAGAGAGACACACACACACACACAGACACTCACAAACAGAGAGAGAGACACACACAGATACTCACAGAGAGACACACACACACAGACACTCACAAACAGAGAGACACACACAGATACTCACAAACAGACACACACACACACACACACTCACAAACAGAGAGGCACACACACACACAGACACTCACAAACAGAGAGACACACACACACACAGACACTCACAAACAGAGAGAGAGACACACACAGATACTCACAGAGAGAGACAAACACAGAGACACTCACAAACAGAGAGAAACACACACACAGAGACACTCACAAACAGAGAGACACACACACACACACACAGACACTCACAAACAGAGAGACACACACACACACAGACACTCACAGAGACACACACAGACACTCACAAACAGAGAGACACACACACACAGACACTCACCGAGAGACACACACATACACACTCACAGAGAGAGACACACACACAGAGACACTCACAAACAGAGAGAGACACACACACACACACACTCACAAACAGAGAGAGACACACACACACACACACACACTCACAAACAGAGAGGCACACACACAGACACTCACAAACAGAGAGACACACACACACACAGACACTCACAAACAGAGAGAGAGACACACACAGAGACACTCACAAACAGAGAGAGACACACACAGACACAAACAGAGAGAGACACACACACAGACACTCACAGAGAGACACACACACATACACTCAGAGAGAGACACACACACAGAGACACACACACACACAGACACACACACACACACAGAGAGAAACACACACAGACACTCACAGAGAGAGACACACACACAGACACTCACAAACAGAGAGACACACACAGAGACACACACACACACACTCACAAACAGAGAGAGACACACACACAGAGACACTCACAAACAGAGAGACACACACAGACACTCACAGAGAGAGACACACACACAGACACTCACAGAGAGACACACACAGACACTCACAAACAGAGAGACACACACACAGAGACACACACACAGACACTCACAAACAGAGAGAGAGAAACACACACAGACACTCACACAGAGAGATACACACACAGATACTCAGAGAGACACACATACACTCTCACAAACAGAGAGAGACACACACATACACAGACACTCACAAACAGAAAGACGCACACACACAGACACTCACAGAGACACACACACACAAACAGAGAGAGACACACACACACACTCACAAAGAGAGAGACACACACACAGAGACACTCACAAACAGAGAGAAACACACACACAGAGACACTCACAAACAGAGAGAGACACACACACACACACACAGACACTCACAAACAGAGAGAGACACACACACACACACACAGACACTCACAAACAGAGAGACAGACACACACACACACACTCACAGAGAGAGACACACACAGACTCACAAACAGAGAGACACACACACACAGACACTCACCGAGAGACACACACACACTCAGAGAGAGACACACACATACACAGACTCTCACAAACAGAGAGAGACACACACACAAACAGACACTCACAAACAGAAAGACGCACACACAGACACTCACAGAGACACACACACACACAAACAGAGAGAGACACACACACACACACTCACAAACAGAGAGAGACACACACAGAGACACTCACAAACAGAGAGAAACACACAGAGACACTCACAAACAGAGAGAGACACACACACACACAGACACTCACAAACAGAGAGACACACACACACACAGACACTCACAGAGAGAGACACACACAGACACTCACAAACAGAGAGACACACACACACAGACACTCACCGAGAGACACACACATACACTCACAGAGAGAGACACACACATACACAGACTCTCACAAACAGAGAGAGACACACACACAAACAGACACTCACAAACAGAGAGACACACACACAGACACTCACAAACAGAGAGCGACACACACACAGACACTCACAAACAGAGAGAGACACACACAGACACTCAGAGAGACACACACACACAGAGACACTCACAAACAGACAGAAACACACACACAGACACTCACAAACAGAGAGAGACACATACAGACACTCACAGAGAGAGACACACACACAGACACTCACAAACAGAGAGACACACACACAGAGACACTCACAAACAGAGACACACACAGACACTCACAGAGAGAGACACACACACAGACACTCACAGAGAGACACACACACACACAGACACTCACAAACAGAGAGACACACACACAGAGACACACACACAGAGACACTCACAAACAGAGAGAGAGAAACACACACAGACACTCTCACAGAGAGATACACACACAGATACTCAGAGAGACACACATACACTCTCACAAACAGAGAGAGACACACACATACACAGACACTCACAAACAGAAAGACGCACACACACAGACACTCACAAACAGAGACACACACACACACACAAACAGAGAGAGACACACACACACACACACAAACAGAGAGAGACACACACACAGAGACACTCACAAACAGAGAGAAACACACACACAGAGACACTCACAAACAGAGAGAGACACACACACACACACACACACAGACACTCACAAACAGAGAGACAGACACACACACACACACTCACAGAGAGAGACACACACAGACTCACAAACAGAGAGACACACACACACAGACACTCACCGAGAGACACACACACACTCAGAGAGAGACACACACATACACAGACTCTCACAAACAGAGAGAGACACACACACAAACAGACACTCACAAACAGAAAGACGCACACACAGACACTCACAGAGACACACACACACACAAACAGAGAGAGACACACACACACACACTCACAAACAGAGAGAGACACACACAGAGACACTCACAAACAGAGAGAAACACACAGAGACACTCACAAACAGAGAGAGACACACACACACACACAGACACTCACAAACAGAGAGACACACACACACACAGACACTCACAGAGAGAGACACACACAGACACTCACAAACAGAGAGACACACACACACAGACACTCACCGAGAGACACACACATACACTCACAGAGAGAGACACACACATACACAGACTCTCACAAACAGAGAGAGACACACACACAAACAGACACTCACAAACAGAGAGACACACACACAGACACTCACAAACAGAGAGCGACACACACACAGACACTCACAAACAGAGAGAGACACACACAGACACTCAGAGAGACACACACACAGAGAGACACTCACAAACAGACAGAAACACACACACAGACACTCACAAACAGAGAGAGACACATACAGACACTCACAGAGAGAGACACACACACAGACACTCACAAACAGAGAGACACACACACAGAGACACTCACAAACAGAGACACACACAGACACTCACAGAGAGAGACACACACACAGACACTCACAGAGAGACACACACACACAGACACTCACAAACAGAGAGACACACACACAGAGACACACACACAGAGACACTCACAAACAGAGAGAGAGAAACACACACAGACACTCTCACAGAGAGATACACACACAGATACTCAGAGAGACACACATACACTCTCACAAACAGAGAGAGACACACACATACACAGACACTCACAAACAGAAAGACGCACACACACAGACACTCACAAACAGAGACACACACACACACACAAACAGAGAGAGACACACACACACACACACAAACAGAGAGAGACACACACACAGAGACACTCACAAACAGAGAGAAACACACACACAGACACTCACAAACAGAGAGAGACACACACACACACACACACAGACACTCACAAACAGAGAGACACACACACACACAGACACACACATACACACTCACAGAGAGAGACACACACATACACAGACTCTCACAAACAGAGAGAGACACACACACAAACAGACACTCACAAACAGAGAGACACACACACAGACACTCACAAACAGAGAGCGACACACACACAGACACTCACAGAGAGAGACACACACAGACACTCAGAGAGACACACACACACACACACACACAGAGACACTCACAAATAGACAGAAACACACACACAGACACTCACAGAGAGACACACACACACAGACTCACAGAGAGACACACACACCAACACTCACAAACAGAGAGAGACACACACATACACAGACACTCACAAACAGAGAGAGACACACACACAGAGACACTCACAAACAGAGACACATACACAGACACTCACTTACAGAGATAAACACACACAGATACTCACTTACAGAGAGATACACACACAGACACTCACTTACAGAGAGATGCACACACACACTCATGCAGAATCACAACAAAGCCTCCGAGTGAAGTCCACTTGCTGCTTGCCCATACCGCGGATGCGCATCCGGATACGTCCACTCACAGTGATGTCAGGTAACCAGCGTGCGGCCCCCGGGCCAGAAACTACATTTATAGGGGAGTTTCCTGGCCAACAATCTGTTACCTACCTGTGCAGTCCTGTAGCGTAGTGGTTAGAGCACTTGCCTCGCAAGCAAGAGGACCTGGGTTTGATTCCAGGGAGGGAGAACACGCCTCTGTTTACCGAGCAGCAAGTAGCAACCCGGTTGTTAGTCAATTAGTGGATTGCTTTTCTGGGGGTAATACCAGGGGTTTGTAGCGGAGGAAGGTGTTTATAGTGGATTCCATGGAAAAGGTGCAGCAGCACGTTTCTATTGGCCCAGGTCATTACTCAGCATTGTAACACAAGTCTTATGTTCACTGAATAACATTCATTTCTTGAAACCTTATAGCTCTAGGATAAAATTAGATTATTTTCTCCACTTTCATTCTCACCCGACTTCCAGAGTAAGGCATCATGTGCCGTATGCAGAGCTGTACTCAATGCCAGTGGTATTTTAGATACCATATCGTTTCATTTTTCAACTGTGGACCAAACAGTGGGTTCAACTGGGATAGGATTGCAATCAGCCAACTGAAAAATCAAAGGAGAACACCACATTAAGTTATCTGCTCCACTTAGGTCAAAATTCCCTTTTAATTCATCAGGAACCTTCTTTACACTATCTTATACTATAGTATACAAAAATAAGTCATTTTTTGCTGAGCATTTAATTCAGAATTATAAAGAGGTGATGAACAATATAATCAAACCCTTTGGACTATACTTTTATTTAGTTATAAGAGAATACTGAGTGGTGGCAATCATCCTGCACTGTAGCCATTTGCACTGATACTCTACATAGCTCATTCCACACACTGCACACTGGTGTCACTGTACTGATCTTCATTTTTGGAGCTAACCTTCCCCACTCTTTCAGACTGAGAATGGGAATTGTTCCTTTGTTAGCCACACTTACCACACTTTGGCATGTTCTCATTCCATCACAGCCATTTAAAGATTTGATCATAAACAATAATAATATTCCTTGTATTTGATATGGTGCCTTATCACTTTGTTCAGATGTCTCAAGTGAACAGAATATTTTGTGGGCGAAGCACAGCAATCAATTGTGCACAGCAGTGTCCCACAAACAGTTTGGTTGAGTGACCAAATTATTATTTTTTTTTTAAAAGGGATTATTACTCCCAATAATAAAGAATATAATAGTTTCATCCTACAGGATTTTATCTATAGGCCTAGCACGTCACTGGGTTGTTGCATATTTTACCACAAATTTCAAAATTACATGGAACTACATTTCTGACAGCTTGTGAATGCCAGAACAGAACTTCCAGACAGCTGACTGCAAAGCACCGTTGGAATTCAAATGCAAGAAATAAAATGTGAAGAATTCATTGAGGAATCTGGAGCAATTCTATGACATTTCCTAAATTATAGATTGCTTAGCAGGACACAAACAGGAGTGGGTTTTATTTCTGTTTTATAACATCTACTGTAGCTTTCAAAATTAAGCAGGCCTTAGCTTGCCATAAAATCAAGTGCATAAAAGTATTCTACTTGTACTGGCAATGCAAATCTTTCAAAAAACACTTTTCATTACGATAACCTTTCTTTCTAAAACATTTTTGTGAACCTAATTGCAAGCTATCATTCAGATGAGAAGTTAACTCTACGTCTCTGCCTCCACCCTTGACTCCAGGACCACTGCTGTCCTGTCAGAATGTCTGTCAGACATCAAGTCCGGGATGAGAACGAACTTTCTTCAGTTGAACATCAACAAGACTGAGGCTCTCCTGATTGGCTCCCATCAGCGCCTCCTCACCTCAGGTTCTGCCATGGATGCACACTCCACCTTACTAAGCCAGTCTGGAACCTTGGCATCTTGTTTGACCTCAACTATTCTTTCTACCCCACATCTGCACAATGAAACGTTCTGCCTTCCCCCACCTCTGCAATGTTGCCCGGCTCCGACACTGTCTCAGACCACAGGCCGCTGAAACTCTTATACATGGCTTCATTACATCGAGGCTCGACTATGCAAACTCACTACTTGTCGGCCTCCCGAACTCCTCCCTACACAGGCTGCAGATCATCCAGAACTCTGCAGTCTGTGTCCTCTCCCGCACTGGGCTCCGTGACCCGATCATCCCCATCCTTGCCCAACTCCACTGATTTCTCATCACACAGAAGATACAGTTCAAGATCCCAGTGCTCATGTTCAAAGCCCTCCAGGGTCTTGCTCCCCTCTACCTCTCCAACCTCGTAACCCCCTACCAGCCTGTTCACTCCCTCTGCACAGCAGGCTCTGGCCTGCGTCACGTCCCTTGCCTTGTTCGCTGCACTATTCGGGGGCAGGCCTTCCGCCACTCTGCCCCCACCCTCTGAAACTCCATCTCCCAGTCCCTCTGTCTCGCCCCCTTCCCTCGCCACCTTCAAGACCCATCTCAAGACCCTCCTCCTCGACCATGTTTTTGACCTCCCTGCTCTCCCCCACCGTGACCCTCAACTCGGGTCCGTATCTGTCTGTCCAGCACCTTGGGACGTCCTCCCGACGTGTAAGACGCTATACAAATGTAATTTTGTTGTTGTTATGAAATCTGTTTGTTCAAGTGGGCATTTAAGATCTCATGACACTAAAAGAAAAGCGGAGTTTCCTGGCCAACAATCTGTTACCTACCTGTGCAGTGCTGTAGCTTAGTGGTTAGAGCACTCGCCTCGCTAAAATTTATTAAACTGGTTATTAAACATTCTTTATTACTTGTGAACAATTTGACCTTCATTGTTAAGTACATCAGAGCATCAGTCTGCAGTTACAGTAGAGCAGTTTTAAAGCCAGACAGAGTTCACATGATCAAGTTGCAAAAGCCAGAGGACCTGGGTTTGATTCCCGGGGAGGGAGAACAGCCCTCTGCTTAACTAGCAGTAAGTAGCAACCCGGCTGTTAGTCGATTGGTGGTTGCTTTTCTGGGGGTAATACCTTNAAAAATAATAATTTGGTCACTCAATCCATGACTGTTGTGGAACACTGCTGTGTTTCGCCTACAAAATAGAATTAATTCACTTTACACTGTAATCTGTGAAGCACTTTTAGTTGTCTTGAAGACGTGATAAGGCGCTATATCAAATGCAAGGATTATTATTACATACAGTGTTACATACTTATTCGCAATTACCTGTGAAGCACCTTGAGATGTTGACCTAAGCCATTATCAAATTCGATGATTATTTTTCACCTTTAAACAGTTATTCTGAAAAGGATATTAGCAGAGCTTTGTGCATCTTTTCTCCCATTCTCAGCCAATATACTACCCCCAAACCATACAATACCAAAATATTTTTAGTGTGAACGAGCAACATCTTTTATAAGAATTAATGCAGCACGGGTAAGAATAAGTACTATTTCTTTAATTCTTGACAGTGTTCGAGCAAAGTTGATGAGATTCTATTCACAGTATTTAAACCAGGGACTGATTGATAAGAGTACTTTAGTGTAGGTTTCTATTAAAGTAATGAGCAGAATACATGAAACACTGCTTCAAAGATTGTTCTTAATTTACCACAGTGTTTAGTTATTAATGAATCATTCATTTCCATGATTGATCTTGGTATTACAATTTAGAACAAGCACAATTCACTTCCATTTATAAAAAAAGGACAAAATAGGTACAAAATACATCTTTCTCTTAACTGAGTCACTTGGGAACTTAATTTTGGAAAGACAAAAAAATTATTAAACTGGTTATTAAATATTCTTTATTACTTGTGAACAATTTGAACTTCATTGCTGAATACATCAGAGCATCAGTCTGCAAAGTCACAGCAGAACGGTTTTAAAGCCAGACAGAGTTCACATGATCAAGTTGTCAAGTGCCAAATGCTCACATATTTAAACTTTATAAAGACAACTTTTAATTGCAACAATGCTAGAAACAATTATTTTATTGCTCCCAATACCACACTGGGAAAACTACCTACATTAAGTGAACTATTAAAGCAATCCAGATCACTCTTTCCCTGATCAATCTGAAGTTTATTTGCAATTACGTCTATATTAAAAATATTAACCTAATGTTAATTTTTGGAATCCGGATACCTCCACTTTGTTACATAGCATGCAGTTGGCATAATGACGCATGAATCTATTAAAGAATTTATAAAGGACAGGTGGGGAATGGTGTAAGGAATTCTACTGCTGAAATATGTAAGGATTCCAACTATTAATTCAGCGATAAAACCTTACAGCATTGAGCTCCTTTCAACCCTGAACTAGACACTGCATTATATAAAAATATACATATACAAAAAGGACTATACAAATTTGTGACAGTCCAGTTTACATCCAATATAAAATGAAAGTTTTGCATCAAGACATAAGCAATGCACATCTTTTTTTTGCATAAACCTTGAGAAAAAGTCTACAATTTTAATCAAGGTAGGTATATGCTACACTGTAAAACGATTGCTTACAGCTATCCTGACTAGCATTGAATTCAACTGGAACATACAACAGGATTTAATTTGACATAATATTAACTCTGACAGCAACTGTTTTTCTTATCACAAATGAATGCTTTAAGAATTTCAATACCAGGAGAATAGGAACTGCACCATATTTATTTGTACAGAAACCACTGGAACGAGGCAAGCAGATAGTGTCCAATTGTCTAAAGAGAAACCGGGATGGGGAAGTTAGAAACTACACTAACCAGTTTGCACTAGACTCCACAGAAGACTCTGAAAAAGTTATGGTCTTATCTTGTAGAGGGAATGAGACCAGTGTTAAATCTATTAATGAATAGAAATGGAAAATCATTTTCAAAACTTGAGAAAATACAAAGTTACAACTTTAAGTANTTTTTCTAAGCACTTGATTTTTTAACTGCAGACTGCAAACTTTAAAAACAATTTGCTATTCACAGGTTCTCATTGGTTGTCATATCCTTTGGCTCCAGATCACTAAACATAAGAACCGAGTGCAAATGTTAAGTTCAAACTATAGAAATTTGTTTTCTACAAAAAAGGCCGAAACTTAGGAAACTGAAGCATTAATCAAATGCACTGAGTGCCACTGAATAGTTAGCTTCTTAATGTTTTTACAGAGCCGGTCATAGGATTAATGCTTTAAAACTGGTCTACAAACTTTTAAAAGGTCAGCCTAAAGACAAACAGCACATTAGAATGCTTCTGCAAACAAACAAAAAATACTGCAATTACCTCAATTAATAACTGAAGGTGTAGCTTTACAGGAATTTTACAGACTGTAGCACAGACGATTTGGCCCATTGCTCTGACGAGACATTCCCTAAAACTACCCATTTAGTCCCACTTCCTTTCCTGTGACTCTGACTTCCCAAATTCCTTAGCTCAGACCATTCTGTTCGTAGAACCAAACAATTAGTACAATTTTACCAGGGTCTTACTCACAATGGTCTAAATATCTTCAAGCACAAGTGAAAACCCGTGCTGAAAAAAACAAAAATGTTGAATAGATGTGAAAGGTCATTCTGCACACTGATGCCACACACTTCTGCTTCAGTAATTCAGCAATTGTCAACCCACCAGTGATTTTT